CGTCTACCGGACGAACTTGCCCCTGTCCGACCACCCGGCCAAGGTACGTCACTGACGCCCTAGCGAACTCACACTTGGCCAGGTTGACAGTGAGATGCGCCTCAGCCAGGCGACAGAACAGAGCACCAATGCGTTGGATGTGGTCATCCCATGTGTCACTAAACACAACAACGTCGTCAAGATAAACAGCAACACCCTCAAGACCTGCTACCACCATGTTCATGAGGCGCTGAAACGTCGCCGGCGCATTACGAAGCCCAAAACTCATCACTGTATATTCATACAGACCGAAAGGTGTAACAAACGCTGAAATCTTTTGCGCACGCGCTGTCAAAGGAACTTGCCAGTACCCCTTTAACAATCAAATTTACTGACAAATCTAGCAGAACCCACCAAGTCAATACAATCCTCCATCCGTGGTAACGGGTAGGAATCTGCTTTTGTCACCTTATTAACCTTACGGTAGTCTTTACAAAACCGCGGAGACCCATCTGATTTGCCAACCAGTAGGCTAGGCAACGCCCAACTGGAGGACGACTGTACTGCAATCTGATTGTCCAACATGTACTGGACCTCAGCCTCCAGTACCCTACGCTTATCCGCAGGGCAACAATAAAATCGCTGCTTGATTGGGGGACTGTCCCCCACGTCGATATCATGCTCCACGAGAGTCGTGCGCGATGGCGTATCGCCGAACAGTGCCACAAACTTCCCGATTAGAGCCGCCAACTCGGCTCTCTGTGATGCAGGTAAGTGACTCAACAAGAGGTCCAACTGGCATAACGACTCCGAATTCTTCAGCCTACCACACATGACAGGTTCATCTGGCGCCTTAACATCACACTCATCAGCCAACCCAAATCCTGGACCTGAAAGCACAGAATCAACCATCATTATGGGGCCATCAATCACATTTTGAGCCATGCAGCTATCCCCAACAGTATCACGAGCATAGTTCGGTTTAAGAAGATTGACATGACACAGTTGAGACGACTTCCTCCGATTTGGAGTAGCAATCAAGTAGTTTTGATCTGAAACTTTACTTTCAACAGTGTACGGGCCGGCAAACTTAGCTTGGAATGGTGAGACCTGCAGTGGCATTAGAGCTAACACCTGATCCCCTGGAATGAATTCACGGTCATAGAGTCTCTTCATATTAGCCTGAGCACCAGCAACATTTTTCCTTGCCATTTCCACCGCTACATACAGGCGATGACGAAAGCCATGTACATAGTCCACTAAGTTCTTAGGTGGCTCACTCTCAACCAACCCATCCTGGAGAACCGCTAACTGACCACGCACCGTATGCCCAAAGACAAAATCATTAGGGCTGAACCCTGTACTTTCCTGAACGACTTCCATGGATGCCAACATGAGCCATGGAAGTCCCTCCTCCCAGTCCCTCCCCATCTCCATACCATAAGCACGCAGCATGGACTTCAATGTTTGATGAAACCGCTCCAGCGCCCCCTAGCTTTGGGCATGGTAGGCCGATGCACGGTTATGCCTCACCCCCAACTGCTGCAGGATCTGCTTGAACATATGGGAAGTGAAATTCGTACCCTGGTCGCTTTGAATCACACGTGGGATACCAAATGTGGAAATGAACTGGGTTAGAGCCCTAACTACTGGCTTCACTGAAATGGACCGCAAGGGAAACCCTGCAGGATACCTTGTAGTCTGGCACATTATAGTTAACATGTACGCACAACCGGACTTAGATGGAGGCAACGGCCCCACACAATCTATGCTCAAAGGGTTGGCCAAGGGCTGGAATGGGACTGAGGGGAGCAGGCTTAACCACCTGACTTGGTTTACCAGTGAGCTGGCATATGTGGCATGCTTTAACATAACTGGCAACATCGCGCTTTAACCGAGGCCAGAACAAATTGCGTAGGACACGGTCATAGGTCCCTGAGCACTACACAAACTTTTAACCAAACTTTCTACAAATAACCCGTAGAACGAGCCCCCATCTGTTATGACCTGGCTCAAAAGGCCACAACAAAGAGGAGACGCACCATATCGAAGGTTAACAAAATATGTTTATTTAAGCAAGTAATTCAAATTAACCAAATTAATTTAAGTGCAAAGTATGTAAAGCATGAGGTGTGGACGTCAGTGGTATCAGTAGTGTAAATGCAGGGTGAGGGTTGCATGGACATGTATGTGTGAGGGTGTTGAGGTGCACAAAGTAAAGCAACTGAAGTAACTAATAGCATACTCAACAGAACCGGGTGGCTGTAGGGGAAAGCAGAGGGAAGACAGAGAGGAGCATAGAGGCTTTAAGTAGCTGCAGGGCACCAGACCCAGGTGCCCTGAGTTACTGCAATCAAGGCTGGACACAGTACAGCCACACCCTCTACAGATGAACCCACAGGGGCATCACAATCAGTCATTTGAAATGTTGATTTAGTGTAGTTTATGTGTTGTTGTATAGCATTTCATAATCTTGATCAAGTATCTCATAATCATGATTTTGTAATTTGTAAGGATGGTTTTCTTATAATATAATCTTGATTTAGTATCTTGTAATCATGAATTATTTATGGTATCATTTTGATTTATTATCACGTATCATCATTTAGTACGGTATAATCTTGATTTAATATCTTATCATGATTTAGTAAGGTATGATATTCATTTAGTAAACTTGTTATCATGATTTAGTTTGGTATAATCTTTAGTTATATATTTTAATCATGATTTAGTGATTTAAGTATTCAAGTAATATTGATTTAATGTCTTGTAATCATGATTCTGTCTTAAATAATAATGATTTAGTTTCTCTTAATCATGATTTTGTATTATATAGTCTTCATTTACTCTCTGGAAATCATGATTTAACATTATACAGGCATGATTTATCATCTCGTAATCAGGATTCAGTATTAAATGAAATTATTGTTATAGAATTTGGATTTAGAATCTTGTGATCATACTTTTCTATTATATAATGATGATTTGGTTTGATATAATCTTAATTGAGTATCTCATGATCTTAATCTGATATTTTACTATTGTGATCATCTTAAGTTTTGTATTTATATCCCTAAATATGCATCACATCATGTTGATAAAGCAGCACATTAGTCACATTGTCTTGGTTCAGTATCTCATATTCTTGAATTAGTACATTGCAATCTTGATTTCCAATCTCACTATCTTGATTTGGTATCCTATAATAATGATCCTCTATAATCTCAAAGTCTATCATCATGCTGACTCACAGAATGAGTTAATGACTCTGCATTTAGCACAGTGATCCAGAACACAGCAAGTCTTTGGTGATGAGATTATTTTGGTGTTTCATGGCTCAGGAATTCAGAGGCAGAGGAAGGGAAGTGTTTTGTGCTAAACGGATGCCAATCCATTTAGAGGGAGTGAGGGAGGGGGGCTGTGGGATTAAGAGAGTGGCCGGCACGAGTGCTCTGATACAGTCACGATGCATTCACTGTCACTGCCACATGTGGGCCTGTACTGAGTCAGCCTGTAGTCTTTGTGAAGTGTTTTATAATCTTGAGTGAACTTTTTTTGTATTTTTTTATCATAAATGTTTATAAAATCCTCTTTATTTGGTATCGTAATCTTGATTTCGTATTTTATAATCATGATTTTGAATAATATAAGATTATTTTGTATCTTGTAATCCAATTTTTTTAATAAAATAATCTTGATTTTGTATTCTGTAATCTTCATTTTGTATTCTAACATTTGTATTAAGTATCTTGAAATCATTATTTAGAAATGTATCATTACGAGCATCTCATAATCTTGAGTTCATATTTTGTTATATTGATTTGATGTTTTATAGTCAATTTTTTATTCCTGACTTAATAACTTCTAATCATGTTTTAGTTTTAAAAACTTAGATTTTGTCTCACGTAATAATGATTTAGAATTTTACTTTCATTTTTGTGTGTTTCATAATCATGATTAAGTATTATACTACTTTGACTTTGTATCTCATTATTATTTTAATATGCGATCATGATTTAGTGTTTTAAAATCTTGATTTAGTAAATTATCACCTTGATTTAATGATTGTTAACCTAATTTTGGGTTTCTTAATCTTGATTTAGGGTTTACTGATCTAGATTGCTTTCCAATACTCGAATGTAGGGCTTTAGAATCCTGATTTAGTCACATGTTCATCCTGACACTCCTGATGGAGACACTCGATCTGCCTCTCCAGTGTCAATCTCTTCAAACTCAGCACTTTACAAAAAGACACGGACAGATGGGTCTGTGTGGAGGAGCAGGGAGGTCTCCTGTTGAAAAGACAGATAAATATAAATATGAGAGCTGTCGGGTGTCGAGGAGAGGAGGGCGGCAGACACTGGAGAGGCTTTCATTTGTCCTGAAGTCAGTGGCAGGCGGCGGACCCTCAGCGAGGATCTGCCGCTGACAGCATGTCCTTCCACGCAGCGTTGGTCTGTCAGAGGTCAGAGGTCACACGTTAATATGATCACAGGGACCTCCACTGAGGATATATTTAGGGATGCACTGGTATCGGAGAAGATGCCGGTGGCTGGACAAGTTTCTGACATTTTGTAAGAAGACACTTGTGGTTTGTATTTAACTGAAAGTTTAACTAGAAAATAATGAATTATTTTAAGATCTTAAAACCGTTACTCAAACCGGCTTATCGTGGGTCTTATTTCACATGGTTATAGAAAACTGGGAAAAAACACACAATATTTCTCACCAGGGTAACGTTACAAGATTTGGCATTTGTGCTGCATTCAGGTGAAGTTTGAACAATCGTTAAAAACTTCCTGACTGGGAAAATTCACAAGAACCACGTGAAGTTGGAGAAACACTTAAAAATGTATCAATAGCCATACCGATCCGCTTTATATTTTAATGAGCTCTTCCTTAACTCATGCTACCTTGCTACCTTCCGGCAGGTTTTATGAAAATCAGGCCAGAAATGTTTTCGTAATTTCCCTTTTATCTCTGACAGTAGTTAACTGTTTTCAAATGTTGTGTCTTTCCAGCCTGCTCCAGTACCAGCACCAGAACCAATTAAAGCACCAGAGCCTGCTCCTGAACCAATTAAAGCACCAGAGCCTGCTCCTGAACCAATTAAAGCACCAGAGCCTGCTCCTGAACCAGTTAAAGTACCAGAACCTGAACCAGTACTAGAGATTGTACCTGAACCCGTTGCAGCACCAGAAGTAGCTGCAGCACCAGAACCTGCACCAGAGCCAGTGTCGGAACCCGAACCTGTCCCCGAACCAGAACCAGTATTCGAACCCGAACCTGTCCCAGAACCTGAACCAGTATGGGAACCCGAACCTGTCCCAGAGCCCGAACCAGTATCAGAACCAGAACCTGTCCCAGAATCGGCTGAGGTTCCAGAGCCCGAGCCCGAGACGGTCTGGGAGCCTGAACCCATCGTAGAGTTTACACCAGAACCAGAACCAGAACCTGAGATTTTCCCAACCAATGGTGAGATGTTGTTACTTTATTCATTATTACAAATCATGCAGCAGGGATTTTAATCCAAAAACCACATATTAATTAAAGCTTACAGGGTAAAACTAACTGCGCAATCAGCACTTTAAAGGTCCCATGTCATGCTTTTCCGGTTATTACCCGTCCCCTTGTGTGTTATGTAGGTTTTTCTGCATGTTAACGGTCTGCAAAGTCACAAACCCTCAAAGTACACCCTGTAGCGAGTAAAACTCTAACACAGAAAAGACCTGTCTATGCTGCCCCAGAACGCCTCGTTGGAGATTTTTCTTTTTCCATTTTTTTCTTCCTGGTCATAGTGACGTAATGGCTCATCACACACACACACTCACTCAGCCTTATCTTTTCTCAGCCACGGCTCTCTGCACACACCCACACTCACAGCCTGGCTGTGAGTGTGGGTGTGCTTAGGCTGAGTTCTGCGGTGTCTCGCTGCAACCAGGAAACGACACCAGTAATCCAGCTCACACTGTCCGCCCCTCGAGCCTCAAAGGGCGGAGCAGCGAGCCCCACAACGTCCCGCCAACACGGCACCCAGACCCCACGCAGCATTCTCATCTGTTTGTCATTACTGGTGTCATTTTGTGGTTGCTAACAAATGCCATTGTAACACATAATCACTGATCTTCCGCTTAATTATGATCAGTAGAAATGGCCATGTCATGGGACCTTTAAGTACTTTTAGTACCTAATACTGTACAATCAATACTTTTGCTTCATGTAACTTTTTTTTTACCTGTAACTTATATCTTTTATTTATATTTAATATATTTTTGTATATATTATATTTTTATATTTCGTTTTTTATTTTATTTTGATGCATATGTTTTATTTCACATTTATCTTAAATGATCCAAATAAATATAACTTACCTTTACTTCAGGTGACTTTATTTTACTGCAAAAATCCTACATTTTACTTAAAACATAATATTCTATTTAATATATATATTTAATTGAATTATATATATATATATATATATATATATATATATTATATTTCTATGTATTTTATTTTATTTTGATGAGTACATTTTCTTTTATATTTGTTTCTATACTATACCATTTTGTATATTAAAGGGCCCATGTCATGGCCATTTCCACTGATCATAATTCCATTGTTGAGATCTACTAAAATAGATTTATATTGTGCAATTTTCCAAACTCACATTGGTTTCTCATACAGCATCTCTGTAAACTACGTGTATTCACTGAATTTCACTCTCTGCCTTTAACGGCTCGTTGTAGCTCCAATAGCTCCAGCCCCCACCCTCCCTGTGAGCACAGTGTGCTCTGATTGGTCGGGACGTTGTGAATCGCACTGAGCTCCGTGGAGGTGTTGTTTCCTTGTTTAGGATACATAGCGAAACACAGCCAAACTCATCCTGAGCACACACAAACTCACATCCGAAGTGAAAACAATAAGTGTGGCTTGATATTGAGTAAGAAAAAGGTTGATAAACGCTGTGAGAATGGGTCTGCAGAGAGAATTTCGCCGTGATCCCAACTGTCTGTTATCAGCCTGCAGCCAGGGAGGAGAAATCAGCAGAGCTGCCTGCACTGTGTGTGTGTGTGTGTGTGAGAGGAAGTCCGTGGATTGGTCAATTTGGACCAATCAGCGGGGGCTTAACCTGTTAAGCCCGAGAGACCCCGGTACCGGGGCACTGCCGCAACATCTTGCAGGAAACAGTGTCTGAGGGCATCTTCATTTAATAAAACTATGAATGTTTTATATCCATGTAATGGGAAGAAACTCATCTAACTGATCATTTGTATTTTTTTTTCAAAAGAAAACCCACAATGCTAACACTGAGCCTCTGAATTAGCAACGAGCGAAAACACCTTACTGCACCGAAAATCACTCACAAAACCTTATTATTTATCTTTTCACCACATCCAACACATCGATTCACATCGTGAGGTGACACAGAATCTATTGACACCGACATTACCACTGAATTATACGTATTTGCGATGTTATAAGCAAAAACGGACATCAAAACAGGTGACGCCAGGTAGCTAAAAATGCTAACATTTTTACCTTGGCTCTGTAGTCTCTCCAAAGTGGTCTTCAATGGCATTAAAACGATAAAAACGCTGCTGAAGTTAATCCATAGGTTAATCTAATGTGTCTGTGTCCCTTTGAAATGATTTTTGATAATCCATAAGCATTAAAACTGCTTTTCCGTTTCCAGATGTCAAAGCTAGAGATAGGTTCACTCTGATTGAAAATTACATGCGCGAAGCCCCCACCTTTTCTCTTCACAACGTGTGTGTGTGGGGGACGCCCCCTTCGATTCTATTGGCTCTAACGGTCAGAAAGAGGTGTCAACCATCAAAATCGAGCAAGGGGGGCCAGAGATATGGAAAATCCACCCAAATGACCCCAGAAGTGGTTTCTTTTTGCTAAATCTCTCTAAAAAGGTCAAATGTCACTTGTTTTGCATCAATCTTGATACAGGGTACTTATTATATGTTGTACTTTGGATTCCTAAAGCTTTTAGTCTACTAACCCATCATCCAAGGGTGGTTTTCACTATAAGTAAAAAAGAACTTTTGGTCGGACACTATAATTTACAGTTTTTTACTATGTAAAATCTGAATTTTCTTTAAAATAAAAAACATCTATATTGATTCTGACTTTTCTACATCCAACTCACAGGTTTATCATTACTTTGAGAAAAAAGATTATTAATTTAACCCTTTTAGAAGGGAAGATATGGTCATTTGTTCAGGGAATGTCATTTTCGAGCCTGAGACCTGAAAAACAGGCTCAGGGCTTAACAGGTTAACGTAACGGCTCCGCGGACGTAACGTAACGGCTCCACGGATTGGTCCATTTGGTTCCGGGTACCGCATGACCGTATCGCGTCATAGCTCTGGGCGTGGCTACTGGGTATCCAGACGTCACGATGCCCAGGAAGAACATGAGAAATCTCCAACGAGGCGTTTTGTGTTCGAGTTTTACTCCCTACAGGGTGTACTTTGAGGGTTTTTGACTCTGCAGACCGTTTATGCATAAAAACCTTCATAACACACAAGGGGACGGGTAATAACCGGAAAAGCATGACATGGGACCTTTAAAATAAAGTTAATTTACTACAATGTACTGCACAATCAATACCTTCACTCTAGATATTTTAACTTTATTTAAAAATCTAAATATTTTACCTAAAACATATATTCTATTTTATATATATTTTATTACAATTAGATTCAAATTATATATATATATATATATATATATATATATATATATATAAATTATTTGATTTAGATAAATACATATCTTTTTTATATTTATTTTATATTTTCCCATTTTATTTATTCTGAATTATCCTATTTTCTATATATATATATATATATATATTTAATATGAATATTTAGTAGTGCATTTGTGTGCAGCCTGTATGACTGTGTGCTGACTTTATGAATGCAGAGTTGGAGCAGCTTCCTCAGCAGCTGTGCTCCACAGATAACTTAACAGAGGAACCGCAGACGGCTGTCCTGACTACCATACTCTGCACACACATTTTACCAGGAAATACTCTAAATGGTGAAGGATTACAAAAAAAAACACATAACAAATACATTACAATTATATGTAAACAATGCTCTCTGTGCATCTCTACCAACTGTTATCTACCGGGAAGTTCATTCCCAGCAGCCACAGGAAGACCAGCTGTTTACATCCTGTGTGTGTGTGTGTGTGTGTGTGTGTGTGTGTGTGTGTGTGTGTGTGTGTGTGTGTGTGTGTGTGTGTGTGTGTGTGTGTGTGTGTGTGTGTGTGTGTGTGTGTGTGTGTGTGTGTGTGTGTGTGTGTGTGTGTGTGGTGTGTGTGTGTGTGTGTGTGTGTGTGTGTGTGTGTGTGTGTGTGTGTGTGTGTGTGTGTGTGTGTGTGTGTGTGTGTGTGTGTGTGTGTGTGTGTGTGTGTGTGTGTGTGTGTGTGTGTGTGTGTGTGTGTGTGTGTGTGTGTGTGTGTGTGTGTGTGTGTGTGTGTGTGTGTGTGTGTGTGTGTGCTAATCTAATACTTAATCTCAAACAGTTAAAGCACTTGGCTGCTCTGAACAACAGGTGGAGCGACAGATGTTTGTTTATGTGTGTGTATTCAGATCCTTTATTGCAGCTAAAGTACTAACAGTACAATAACAAAATACTCATATAAAAGTAAAACACCTACATTAAAAACACTGAAGTTATGTAAATCTAAAAATACTCAAAATCAAAGTATTACTTGTGCAGTAAAATGGAGTTAAAGTCATTGAAGTATAATTATTGATTATGCAGTAAAATAATCCCTGTCAGTGTTTCACTACTCTATATATGAAATATAAATTCATGCACACATTAGGGACATTTATTAATAAATCTGTATTTATTTTCTTTATTTGTCCTTAAATTCAATCCGGTACTCAATAATATTCAATTATTCTAAGAATTTCTTTATTGATAATTAAATGTTTGATTTTCTTGATGTTTTTTTTCATATGTCTTATCTATTTTATGTACTTATATATTAATACATAACATTTATTTATTTATTATTTTTTGTTTTTGGAACATTTTGTATTTAGTGTAACTTATTAATAAAACATTTTTTAAAGCTTTTATTTATTCGATTAAATTGGGTAGGATGAAAAACTGTAATCTGAAAAGTAACTAAAGACAATTGTAGTGGAATCAAATGTGCAATATTTACCTCTAAGATGTAGTGGAGTACAAATACTTTAAATGTGTACTTAAGTACTCAGCAGATGTACTCAGTTACTTTTCTGTGTGTGTCAGATGAGGCTGCAGCTGACGACATGGTGATGTTCACTCCAGGAAAGAAACAGAGCAAGTTTGAGACGATGATGACGAAGGAGGAGATTGAGGAGGAGCAGAGGTGAGTGACAGTGGGATCTGAGGTCATGTGACATGTTGGACCTGCTGCAGGGTCTGTGTGCGGCTGCATGTACAGCAGTGTGTTCTGCTAAAGGCTTTAGCTTCCAGGGACGGCGGGTGGAGGGTCTTCTGCACGCACCTTAACACCTCTGTCCATGAAATGAAAGACACTTATTTAGTGACTTTACTAAAGAAATGCAAGGAAAAATATTCGCATGTATATGTGTTTTGTGGTCCCACATTTCGCTTTACTTCTTATTTTTTGCCCCAAAACAATGCAGAGTTAGCATTACATATTGCGAGTTATCTTTCTCAAAAAAGGCAAAAAATGAAATAAATGTCTACTGTGTATATAAATAAATAAATATAAATGTATTTTTTATTTTATTAGATTTTTTATTTTATTTGAATTTACACATAATACTTTACTTGATCTTTTACATTTTATAATGATTCTTGTTTTAATTATATTTATTACATATCTTTATTTACATAATGTTATATATTATGGTAAATATTTGTAAGTATATATTTTAATTTATTATTTTTAACATATATTTGAATTATATTTATTTAAAGTGTATATATTGATTTATTATTTTGAAGAAATATTTAAATTATATAACAATGCTTTCCGATATGTGGAAAAATATTTCTCCGATTGTGATTAAATTCAATGCAAAGTGCGGATGCTACTTATTGCTAAATATATTTTATTATTACCGACGATAAAGTGGAGCTTGTCTATTTTCTAATGGTTTCAGAGAGTACTCATGATACCCTCGAAAATGCAAAATTGCATTATTGAATTTTTTAATAATTAATGTAAAAGTGGAAAATGAAAATCCTATTGTGAGATTTAGTCCAGCAAAGTCTTCCATCCACACCCTGAGGCTGGACTGTGAGTGAACAGACATTACATAACCTCTGTTACGCATGTTTTCCAGCTGAGAGAGTGTTTATAATTTACTTTTTATCTAAGAGCGGGGAGGAGACATATTCAGCTGTCTGATTGGATAACCCTTTTTATTTTAAACTCCAGAAACTCTTAAAATGTTCTTGTGGGTTGGCAACGCTGTGTTTCTGTGTTTATGTTGAGAATCTCAAGGAGAAACAGAGAAGAGTCTTTGTCTCAGTCTGAGTCTCTCTCAGGGTGAACAGATTTCACAGATGAAAAATATTTCTCTGCATAGTTCACAGCTCCAGATCCTGGTTGAGTGTGTCTTAAAATGTTGTATAAATCTTGTGAAAACATGTTACCTTTCAAATCGAAGCTCAAGAACTGTGAAATCATTTAGATGAACATTCTTCGAACAAGTATTTAGTCATAAACTCAAGTATTCGACTGAAAGGGTAACTCCTGTAGTCCGACCCTGAAGGTAGCATCTCCTTGGTTCCCTCCGCAAAACGCCAATGGGGTTTCTCGATTAGATTTTGTTTTATTGCAGAAAATAAGCTCTGCGACAAACACATGTTTAGGATACTTCAACATTATGTTCAGAAGGATAATCTCCACATACACCGAAAAAACTGAAACGTTGACTTAATGTTACTTAACTTAAATGTATTATGTCAACAAATTTCACATAACTGTATGAGGTTAGTTAAAAGCAATAATATTAAGTGGACTTAATATTATTGCGTTCAACTAACCTAATACAGTTGTAAGAAAGTGTAAATGCAATCTCCAGAAGTAAAAACGCTAACAATAGGCAAATAAAGGAACTACTTCACCTCACTTTACATCAACAACGCTAACCAGTCCCATTTAGTCACTTGTTGTTGGTTTTAACGTCATTTAAAAGCTTCAGGATTTAAACAGTAGGCTGTATTGACATATTTTATGTCGCAGAACAAAACGTTAAAATCTCTTCAGCTTGTGTTACCTTATTTCAGGCTTCAGACTGAAAAAAAAAGTTTAAAAAAACCATTGACTTCCAGATGAGTGAACAGGAAGGGCTGAAATGCTTACTCTTTTCTAGTGATGGGAAATATGGCTCTTTGAAGGGAGCCAGATCTTATGGCTCCGTTCCTTTCAAAGAGCCGTTCAAAAGAATCGGCTCGTTCGCGACCGACACATCACTACTCTTTTCCTGGTTTTAGGACTCATTCTTCAACTCTACTACAATTTATCCTCATGGGGACATGAATGATGAACCACATTTTAAATGTATTGACAGGACATCCAATAGTTATTGGGTTATTTCACTTAAAGACAAACAGGGTCACCACATTTAGTGGGATTCATCCTCTGGAGAGCATTAATATCTGAACCATGAATATCTGAACCATGAATATCTGACAAATAACTTGTTTTAAATGTTTAAATTAGCTTCATTTGCATTATTTCTTGACTAAATTACACTTTATACTGTGTGACATTCAGGTATATCAAGTGCAAATTTCAAATCACGATAAGGTCCAATACAAGCCCTCTCTTAATATCAGTAGTCAGGTAACCCCCCCCCCCCCTCTTGATACAGTATATATGAGCATGACTTCCTCCCAAGTTTTTGTGGATAATCTCCATTTTGTGCTACAACAGCAGATGTTTTGTGTGCTTATCTTTCAGGATAGAGCTTACGTCAGATTTTACTTCTCTATAATCATCAGCACACACACAGTGTGTTAGGAGGGACATGGTAAGGTCATGTTTCTATTAAAACCCCCTCCTCCCTAAATCAACCCCAACAAAAATAACCCGAGATAAAATGTATTCTATCTGAAGAGAGAGGCTGGCATTACATTGCTAACCATGTTTGGATCAACGTGACTTTATTGATCATTTTAACAGAGTATTTTACAGTGTGGTATAAGTACATTAAATGCATTCATATATCTGAATACTGAACTGCTGCAACATATACTTTTTATCATCTTCTCAGCGCTGCTCAGATTTATGGAAACACATCAAATCATATAATGATAGTACATTTACTTTTTAAAGCTCCTTTAAAGGTCGCCTATTAAGCAAAATCCACTTTTTCATGTATTTTATACATACATATGTGTCTCCTCTGTGTTAAGAGATTTGGAAAGTTTCACAAAAAAAGATTCTCTCCTTTTTTGTCCTGATCCATTTATATAAAAACCTGTCTGAAAATGAGCTGATCAGATTTTGGCCACTTTGTGATGTCACAATGTTTTTTTGGCTTGTGTAACCATTAGCCAATCACCAACCAAGGTAACCCCCGCCCCTCACCTGATCACCTGAGGCCCCGTCCACACGGAGACGAAAACAAAAATAAACCGAAATCGGCTCAAGAAACGTGTCCGTCCACACGAAAACGCTGGAGACGCTGTAGTACATATGCCGGGCCTGTAAGTTGAGCTGTACTTCCGCCACAAAATACACCAAAAGCAGTGAATAAGACGATTATTATTATTATTATTATTATTATTATTATTATTATATTATATTATTATTGTTGCTGATGGTTTTGGTAGAGGAGCTGTAGATTTTGCACTAAAATCTGTATCATGGTCAGTAGCGTCTGGAGCACGAACGCAACCCTGTGATCCACCATTATTGTTGTTGTTGTTGGCGAAACGCATCAGCAATGAGGTGGGGGTGAGCAGGAGAGGCGGGGCTATGGCGTCATCGTTTCAGGAAATGATCGTATAGGCGTACACACGGAGCCGCAAGCGTTTCATCTCCAGACTTACCCACTTTGGGAGCCGTTATCAAAGTGTATCGGATTCGGCTTTGTGTGGACGAACCGTCTATACCAGCGGTTTTCAAAGTGTGAGACGCGCCTCCCCTGGGGGGCGCCAGAGAGCTTCAGGGGAGGCGCAGCGTGAGAAAAAAAACAACGAGAAAAAGACGAGTAAAGTGACACTTGCACACTTTTGGCTGTCTGAGGAGACCGAGTTCCCCCACCTCGCCAAAAAGGCTGTAAAAGTGCTCATTCCCTTCACCTCCACCTACCTGTGTGAGTGCGGGTTTTCCGCATTGACTTTGATCAAAAGCAAGTGCCGGTCAAGGCTGCAGCCAGAGGATGATCTGCGTTTATTCCTGTGTGCATCAAAGACGCAGACTCATTGTTCCCACTAAAGTAGGGGTGAGTGTAATAAGGAGGCAAAGTTGACGTTCAGTGTGTTGCCGGGGGCATATAAGGATTTATCCACGATGTTGAAAATGTAAAAAATGTTTAAAAAATATGTGTTGAGAACACCGTGCGAAAATATACGGGTCGTGCTGCAGCTAGATTTGCCTGTCCTCTGTAAGAAGGTGTCGGCGACTGACATGCAAGGAAGAACAGGCCACAGGCTGTTCCAACTTTAACAACTTTATTAACTTCCAGGGTAGTGAATTGAACATGCAATTGAAATTGGGTGCGTGGTATATTTCCGTGCACAACACACAAACTGAACAACACTCAATTGTCCGATCGCTACCAGTGTCCTTGCGATCTTGTTATAACAACAAAGTGCACGTTACTGATGCAATATGGTTGAGACCATTCGGGCTTATTCTAGAGGGGTGCAAGGAATAGTCCAAGTAGTGGGGGAGTTGTATACAATATGTTTAAAACATAAAGATAAAAAGGTTTAAAAAAGTTATTGTTTAATGTTTTAAGGAGGTGACGCTACTCAGCCAATCAAACCGGTGCAGTCAGTGAGTCAGCACGATAGATTCAAACACACACAGAGACGAGACAAGACAAGAGGAGAGAAACAGTCTTCATTTTATCTTACTGGACCTCTTTGAAATGCAATTGAATACCCCTGCATTATAGCAACAACAACAATAATAATAATAATAATAGCAATAATAATTGGGAGGGGGGGCGCGGCTGTTCTTATGTTCTCTGAGGGGAGGCTCACCTTCCCACACTTTGAAAACCCCTGGTCTATACGATAGAGAACGTTAGCGGATACAACTGATATCGTCTCCGTGTGGACGGGGCCTGAATCTCCTCCTTGAGCACCATTGTGTTATTTTTAACGAAATATCTCTCATACCTCATTCACACCAACGCAACTCCGGTTCAAGCTCCGTGCTAGAGCTTTTCAGGTTCAGAACCGGTTCTTCGGTTTACCTCCGGCTCTTTTCACACCGCCCAGAGTCCGACTGGTGCTGCGTCATTGCGTCATCGTTTGCGTCATGACGTAACCGTTTGCGTGCCTGCTTCATAAAGCCAAACTGCGCTGAAACCCCTCACAGCTCACACCGACAACAATGGCCGATTGTGTTGAAACGCTACTCGTTTTTTTGCTTTTGGGGAGGGATTGCATTGAATTAAAGCAGCGGGAGCAAACGCTTGCCTCGGGGAGGGAGAAAAAAAGCCACAGCGGAGAATAAACAGAAGGGTAACCATGGTAACTATGGGCGGGAAGTCTTCTTCGCTGCTTTTGTGGCAGACTACAGCGCCACTTACAGGCCTGGCATATGTACTACACCGTCTCCAGCGCTTTCGAGCGGCAATGGCCGGCCGTGTCCCAACCCCACATTCCCCTGATAGGTGGAGAGTTTGCCCAATAGCCGTAGCGCCACTTCTGTGACGTCAGGACAATGTTCAAATCTGGATCAGTCTGTATCAGATCCGTTGCAGCCCCTTTTTTAGAGATTTGGGTATGGAGGAAAATAGAGAGGGTTGTGTTTTCTGACACTTGGTGAGTTCCCTGGAACACCGGGGACACATATTCATGTATAAAAGACGTACAAAAGTGCATTTTGCATGATAGGTTCCCTTTAAGTAGTAATATCAGAATTGGTAATATTAGTACATTATTATTCTATATGCATACATATGATTTATGACCTACACATGTAAAATAGAAATGTACAATAATACGATTATAACATTTGTTAAATGAGAGTTCTCAGTATGACTGTATAAGATTGGTTCATGCGTACAAAAACAAATACTCTGTGAAAAAAGTCAATCAACACACACACACACACACACACACACACACACACACACACACACACACAGGTAGAGCTTCCTGTCTGAGGACCGAGCCTCTCTTCTTCTACATGTTATTTCCTGCAGCTTCCCCTGCTAACTGCATGCTGCCTGCTAACGCATAAGCTAACGGTGAGTGATGCTAACAACTGTTTAAAGAGCAGCCACACTTTGTGTGCATTTAAGCTCACTTTAATTTAATAAACCAAACCCTGCATAGCTTCTGCATGAATTCATTCATTAATTTTAATTCAGTCTAATCTCAATAATAACAACAGCCTGTGTGTTCTTCATCAAATAATGTACTTATATTTTTTGATGTTTTTTTCAGTATGTTTCGTGGTTTCTATTCATTTCTGTACATTATAAAAATCATTGAGCAAGTTAAAGTCTGACAGTTTTTACCGTATAAAGTTTTATATTATTATATATTAATATTCTTTTCCACTTTTTCTTAGTGACATAATGCCACTGGTTTTTATGTAGATGCATTTTCAGTGTATTACATATTAGGAGGATTTTCACACTATGTCCTTGATTAGCAGAAACATTGATTAAATGGTAAGTTAACTCGGTGAAAGTGTACAATTATATTAATAAAATAATTTTGAACAGTTGTTTTAGGAAGTAGACATTTTGTCCTCAAAGGTAGATTCATTTTTTAATGCAAGAGTAGTATAAATAAATGAAAAACCATGTTAATGCTAACAATTGACATATCCCATAAAAAATGTAAACAAACAATAGGATTAAAATCCCAACAATTAAATTGCTATGATCAGAGCTGAAGTTAGTTAAAAGGTTTAACTAAGTGCAAGATGATAATAAAATATTAATACTTTTATCCGATTAATGAAGGGACATTTTTTGTCTAATGTAGAAATAAAAAATGTTGGTAATATGAACTGCACAAAAAAACGTTATCTATGTTGTTTTGGGTCATTGAAATATATTTGCAGTCAGAATTTATTATACAGATTGTAATTATTTAAATTGTGTTTTTTTCCTTTGATAAACAACAGTGGCATTATGTAAGCAGACATTTTTTGGAGAAAAAAATGAATATTTAGGAGTTCTGATCAGGACTGAATTGAGTCAAGGTATTTAATAAAAGTGGGAAAAGATATTAATAAATATTAATCTTATATCAGTTTTAGGAAGTGGATAATTGTGTTCTATCGTGTATGGATTCTATTTTTTTTAACTGACACTGCAGAAAAAAATAAAATGTACAAGATCAGGACTGAATTTGGTTACACGATTTAACACAGTGAACTAGGGACATTTTGTTTTTGTAATCTTTTTATGACATGAATAGGACATCAGATAAAATGTTAAGTGTTAACTTTCATGTATTAGCGTTCATTTAAAGTGATTTACGTTACATTTCCTGATTGTTTGTAACTCTTATTTTAAGTTGTATTTCTTGACACATTAAAATGAATATTGTGGGTTATTTTCTTTTTTCAGAGCTTCTGAATGATCATCCTGAGATTTGAAACCCCTTCAGCTTCTTCCTTGATTTTGTCACTGCTGAAGGAAACGATTTGAAACATTTGATTTGAGAAGCTTTCAGGTCTGAGCTGCTTGTGAATAGCAAACGTCTTTACACCAAAGTGCCTTCAGGAGTCTGTGTTTGTACTGTTTGTAGAGTAGCATTAACAGAAACAGAGTGAAGTTATTGTGTTTACAGGACAGATGGAGCAGTGTGACACTTTTGTTCAAACTTTGATTTCAATAAAGTTTAGTCAAACAATGAATATGCTGTTCTTAGAAGAACGGGAGAAAACAGAAGTTAAACGTCCTGTGTTTGAGGTTTGAGGTTTTTCAGTTTGATTTACATGTTTAGACATGCAATAAATAAATAAATGAATGTGTGAAACCCAACTGACGCTTGTGTTTGTTTCAGGAAGCTTTTGTTTTTATTTTTGAATTAAGCATCCTGTGCATTAAAATATATCCTGTAATTTAACCATCCAATTGCTTCTTTTGTTTGTTTTTGTGTCTTTTTTAAATGTATTTCTTAATTTAGTCTGTTCTTTTTTTAAATTATAAATATGATTATTTATTATTAACTTTTTATAGTATAATTATTATTTGTATTATTTGTCTCTTTGTGTCTTTATTTTCTTGATATTTTACGACATTAATCCTGAAAAAAATCAATTAATTTTTTCTCAAAATATTATACTTTTTCTTCAAAAACATTTAATGAATGATTTTCAGATCTCTTTAAGATGGTGGACGACAGGTGCTACAACGATCAAAACCATTTAAATTAGGAGAAACGCACTGTTGTTTAAAAAACGATTAGAAAACACAAATGTGCCAAAACATATGCAAATGAAGATACATCTTGCTTTTGCACATGTTGGCCACCACACTTTTATCAAAGGTTTTCTTGAATTTCCATTACCATCCAAAATCATGACATTATTATGAATATAAAATGTTTTTTCTCGAGAAAAATGACAGCATTGACCTTAAAAAATGAGTACTTTTTCCTTTTCTTTATTAATTTATTTGATCAAGAAATATTTTGATATTTGTGTCCTGTCATGTGACCTCAGCTGAGTATTTCTGTTCAGTTCTGTGACTTCACTTCCCAGGGTTCAACAGGAGCAGCTAGCAGCCATCTTCCTGTTGCTGAGGGAGAACCAGGAGGCGCTGGGGGAGGTGACGGAGGGAGAGATGGAGGAGCAGCTCAAGCTCTACTCCCTCTGAGACTTCAGAAAATATACTGTAGATTTATATTTAAACTTGAACAATTTTACTGTATTTTAAATGATTAGTCATTTTTTTTAACGTTACACTTTATTATAGAAAATATTATTTATTATACCGTATTTTTTTAAATACTTGTTCGTAAATTAAACCTAGCCCTTATTTCTTTGAGTAGAAATACTACATTTTTCTTGAAAAACGTTGGATTGTATTGTCAACATTTAACATGTTTTCTCAAAATATTTGATTTTGTTAAAGAATTATGATTTTTTTCTTCAGATATTTCAAGTTTTCCTCATAGTGATCTTAAAATATTCAAACTAAAATCTCAGTTTAAATGCTTTATTTAAAGGGGACCTATCATGCAAAATGCACTTTTGTACGTCTTTTATACATGAATATGTGTCCCCGGTGTTCCAGGGAACTCACCAAGTGTCAGAAAATACAACCCTCTCTATTTTCCTCCATACCCAAATCTCTAAAAAAGGGGCTGCAACGGATCTGATAAAAACTGATCCAGATTTGAACACTTTCCTGACGTCAGGACAGTGGCGCTACGGCTATTGGGCCAACTCCACCAATCAGGAGGAGACAGCCACGGCCATTGCCGTTCGAAAGCGCTGGAGACGCTGTAGTACATATGCCAGGCCTGTAGGTGGTGCTGTTCTCACTGAATCTGCCCTTGCAACTAAAGAGCTAAAAAATGTCAAATTGAGCAAAATGAGGCATGGCTAAAATGCATGATCTGTTTGGTATTTTGAAAAAAAAAAAGTATAAATATGCCTTATATAGGTATGGTCCTACACTATATTATTCAAATATAGCATGATAGGTCCACTTTAATATATATTTTATAATTTTAGAATATTATTCCTGATACTGTAGATGTAAGATGTTATTGCTAAAGAAGCGCAATATCCCAGAAAAACATATCCGTTTTTCTTTCAGAATTGTTGTTTTTAATTAAAATATTTAAACTTTTCTCAAAAATACTTTGACTTTATTCTGACAAAAACCTGGTTCCTGTCTGGATTTTGTGTTGAAACGGTAATATAGCAACTGGATATGCTGCATTTAGGCTAATGTAGAGTTTTCTACATAATCTTAATCTAAAATGTGTTGAAACATTCTGATATTGTTCTCAAATGTCAACTCCATTCTCGGAAGACCATTACCATCAATGTTTGTATTTATATACATTTATAATTTTGCTCTCTAAATATAAAGACTTAGTCAGAGTTCTATTTTAAAATATAATAACAATCTGGATAAAATGTATCTTAACGTTTTCTTTAATTTAAGAACCTTGTTCTTAACATTTCCATTTTTTTCCCCTTAATTCAATTTTTTCAGAAAAACTTCTAAGGACATTACATTTTTTCCTTAAGATATACAAATATTATCCTAAAAATACACCTTTATAAAAGTTGATATTAAGACTAAGTATCTCACAATTAAACGTTTTTTTCTTTTTTCATTTTAGGACATATAGTTGGTATATTGTGGTATTTATAACATGTTCTGTCATGTGACCTCAGCTGTTATACCCGTTTACAACCACACATCAGTTTACAGTCTTTATGCTAAGCTAAGCTAAATGTCTGTATAGCTTTACACCAACACACTCTCACTCCATAAACGTCCAGGGTCTCGAGGTGTGCAGTTGGGACGCTCCTTCAGCTTCATAAAGGGACGCAAATAGCTTTCAACTGATTGCAATGTATTCCCATCTGCGGCGGGATTTGACGCTCATGGAAGCACGGCATTCGTTTGTGTCGGCGGCATTTAAAGGCAATGTGAGCGTCCATTCCCATTGGATAACGGAGAATTGTACACCCGGAAGTAAGTATTCCCCTTACTGTCGATTGATTTGACAGTGATATCTCCACTACTCATCAACTCAAAAACACCAGATTATCCTTGTTAATTACACAACATTGATTGGTTTAAATTGTGTGCAATGCTTTTGTATTTGTCCCCTTTGATTCGGAGAAACAAATGTTTTTTCTGAGTTTAGGATGGCAGAAGACACTACACTACCCAGAATCCCCAGCTATCGTTTAGGACTACACCATGTGCTCTGTTTGACAAACCCCGTGATTAGTTCTCAAGCTCTGTGATTGGATGTTGGAGTGGCAGTGCGCGAAGTTTACACGGAGCGTCAAACAGCACTTTGTAATGGAATGAAACCCATCGACGGCACACTATCCAAAACAGGAATCGAACGTGTCCAACCCCCCCCCCCCCCCCCCCATAGGTCACAGGCTCCTCCAACAGTGCAACACAATAAAACAGATACACAGAAAAAATAGTGCAAGTAAATACAAAAAGTTAAATAGTAAAAAGTTAAATAGTGCAATAAGAGTCTATATACAAGTGATTGGAATATGATCTATTAGACAAATAATTTCTAAGTAGCAGCCAGATGAATGTTATGGATGTTGTTTCAAAGTTCAGGTGTTTAATAGTCTTATGGCCTGTGGGATGAAACTGTCCCTGAGTCTGGTGGTTTTAGTCCTGATGCTGCAGTACCGCCTGCCAGACGGCAGCAGACAGAACAGTTTGTGGCTGGGGTGGTGGGGGTCTTTTATAATCCTGAAGGCTTTCTTTAAGGTTAACCTGGTATTTTTACTACATTTATTTTAGTTACTTTACAGATTTATATCTTCAGATTACACCTGAGTAAAATTCAGTGAAGGTGATTGTCAAGTGCAAACAATCAGGCGAGATATTTGATAGTTGGTGCTTGAGAAGACAAAAAATGTATCTGCAGATCCCTATAAAGCATATTCATTACTCGTTATTCTCTAATTGTTCATCAAAAACTGTATATAATGGCTATTTTGCACATCCCTTTCAAGATTTCAAGATTTTCAAAGGTTTATTGAAATATAATATACACAACTACGGTGTAGTTATGCAATGATGACAAGCTTGGGTCATAGGTTCCTCAACAAGAGATCTATCAATATGTGTGTACCTCCACCATTAAACTATCATATTCTGCACATTTCTTATACTATCTACATATATCTTATAAGAGTATAATAAATATGTATAATGTCGGTTAAAATAAGTGCTTCAACATAGTTAACATTGCAGGAAAGTTGATTGTCAAGTCCCAAAACAAACCACGCAATATATTAAACGTTAAGTACTTTGTCAGACTTAATATCTGTAGATACCCTCAAAGCTTTTTGCTTACATGTATTTAAAAGAAGACCTTAACCTAAAGTATTATTTAATGTTTAAATAAAGCCTAATTAGTTTGTCTGTTTTGCACATCCTCCTATTAATATCTTTGTACATCCGGCACTAAACTGTTTTATTCTAGATACCATTTACAGTATCTTCTTGATATTTTCTATTCTATATTTCTATCATTGACCTTCTACTTTCCTCCTATTTTGTATGTACTCATAATATTTAAATGTTTTCATAAAATATAACACATTCAAAAGTGCTTTACAAAAATGAAAGACATTAAGAAAAAGGCATTTTAAAACAGTCATTAAAAAGCAACACAATCTACCTGCATTGCAATTACTCTAAACGTGTAATAACGTGCTTTAACCAGTAGGTGGTTTGGGTTAAAAAGTTGTCAAGTTTACAGTGTTAACAAAATAAAATATACTGCTGTTTCTGGTTTAGTTTACGACGGATATATTTAGTTATTGTTTTGATATTTGTAACACAAAAGCGATGGAAAAAACCCACAGCAACACAGAAAAGATGGTCTTAACATGACCCAGCGGTCTAGTAGTTAATAAAAAACAATAATATCAAAAAATATATATTACTACTAACTTTATTGTGAAATTAAAACCGAACGGTAAAAGAATAGTTTCCGGTCTATTCTGAGCCCGATCTCTAGATAAATAACGAACTACGACAGATGTGTAATATTTAATGCAGCCGAACCATTCATTACAATGCATTCATGTGATGACTTTCAAAGAGTAAAGCAAGTGTAATAGATATGACAAGTCATGGTTGATGACCTTCCGGGTCTGTCCAGCAGAGGGCGCTTGTTGTTTGCCATTGGTGCATAATACATTAGACTTGAAGCAAACCAACAACGTCTGTTTCCTTGTCTGATATTTTCCCCATATTAGGGGCATAACATTTGGAGGCGCTGCTGGGAGGTGTGTGCGTTGTGGATCGGCTGCTGCAAGAGGTAGATGTCCCCAACGCCATCCTTCATCATTTACCCAGACATTGAGAGCAGGTGGGGAACCGGCTACAGTGAGATCCTGACAACCTGAGGAGGGAGTTCATGCAATCTGAGGTGTTGCTATATACCAGGAAAGCTGCTACCAACCCCACATACGGTTAAAAGGGACCACATCACACCGTTTAACCCATGCTCTAATGCAGAAATGGAGTCGGAGATGGAAAGATTACAGCTAGAAATAATCGGAAAATTATGTGTGCTCCCCAGAGACACCTTGGTAGAGTTATGTGACTTTCTAATCATCGCAGGTCCAGAGCTTGAGTTTGTTACAGGCAGGAGTCGAACAGCTCTCATGACATTGATTTCAAATCACATACAGAGGGAAGAGCTTGATGAGCTTGAGGATAAGGGAATGTCTGAACTCCTTCATTTTCAAGACAAAATGTCACAAAAGCTGTTACAAGTGACACACAAGTAAGTGTACAGGAAAGATTTGCAAATGAGGAAAAGATTAAGAAGGATCAAGAGCGGGAAAAGATAATGAAAGAAATTGAAGCCTTGCAGCTGCAGTTAGCAAGTACAACAACAGAGAAAGAGAAGCAAGTGAACAAAGAAACAAACAATATGTCTTCTAGCAAGGACACAGCACAGAGCACAGCCATCAGCCATGCACACCCCCCATGGTTTAAGGAATTAAAAATATCTGGCCAAATTGGTGAACATGGACAAAAAGATAAGCTTACTTTTTCAAGTTTAGCTCGCCAAATTGAACATGGACTAAGTAAAGGGTTTCCAGAACCTGAGATTGTGGATGCAGTGATAAGAGTCATTTCTCCTGGCATGCAGCTCCGTAGTTATTTGGAGGGGAAAATTAACTTGACCTTACCAACATTGAGACGTATACTCCGTTCCCATTACCAGGAGAAGAGTGCAACCGACCTCTATAAGCAGCTCACCTCTGAGGTTCAGGGCATCAAGGAAACCCCACAGAACTTCCTTATCTGAGCTTTTGACCTGAGACAGAAGATTTTGTTTGCCTCCCAAGAAGCTGAGTCAGGTCTCAAATATGATCCATGCTTAGTGCAGAACATGTTCCTTCACACTGTGTTAACTGGTCTCCAGAGTGATAATGTAAAACGTGATCTCCAACCATACCTTGAGCAGACTGACATCTCTGATGAACTGTTACTAGAGCGGATGAATGCAGCTTGTGCCTGTGAGCAAGAGACGCAGAGTAAAAGAAAATTGTTAGGACAACAACGCCCTGTCATGATACATGCAGCTCAGTCCAATGATGCTCCTGTTGAAAAGATAGAAAAGCAGTGTGCTCAGAAAAACATAGATAAAATCCCCCCTATGGTACTCTCCCAGCTTAAAGAGATAAGATCTGAGATGGCTCTACTGAAAGATCTTAGAGCAGAAGTGTCTCAAATCAGAGAGTCTATACAGCAACAGCCACCAGCACAAGGGCCAGATCCCACATCAGCTCAGCAATTTCCAGGTCAGCAGAGGCAGGGACTGCCACAGGGACATTGGTTCACTCCTGGTCCGGGACACAGAGAAGAAAATGCACAATATCATCAGAGCTTTGACACACAGCGCAGCGTTCCACCACCAAACCGTGGGCGTATGAGGAGATGTTTTGGCTGTCAACAGCGTGGAACTGAACACTACTGCACGCACTGTTACAGATGTGGCAGCAGCGAACACTTCCTTGCTGGCTGTCGAGCTCCAGGGCAGAGACAGGTTGGATATAATCCTTTAAACGGGGAAGGGTCGCTCGCACGGGACAGGGAGTGACCACTGACAC